AATGGTAAATTTAACTTTCTGGAGATCACTTCTCAATGTAGAACATATGATACGCTTCAAATATCTATCCATCCAAGAGGCACATAGCACGATCTTTACCGTAGTTTCACCAGTTTCTGTCCACTACTAAACTACAAAAGACCACAGTTTAGACTGCTGTTCTGTATAGCACAGAGAATACACTTACCAGATAAGATTGAAGAGGAATTGTCTCTTCTCGACAAACATCTTAAAACAAACGGATACCCGCAAACATTCATCAGCAAACATGGTCGAAGAGAGTGTAGTAAGGCTGAGAGAATAACAGTATGTAATAAGCCGATCTCCACTCACCTTGACATCAAAAGTGATGATACAATGATGATAGTACTCCGAAAACTACAAACTTCACTGATCACGACATATTCTACAGGTAAGCTTGTTCCACTGTTTCAAACATCTTGCTCATTAAGACAATCATAAATCAACAGGTACCCTTCATAAATTACCTCTAATTGTGTGTATCAATTCACATATATTTTCTTGACCAGCTACATTTTGAGAACAAAAAGAAAGGGTTACCTACGATATTCTGAACATGTCCCAGTTGTGAGAAGCAAGCACCCTCAACATTACAATAACCTATCTACTTACTGGACATAGGATATCAAGTAGATGAGTTGGAATCGTTCAAAATAGTCAACAAACAGAATAATTCAAAACTCTATTTCACAGAAACTATTGCAATCAAATACCTGAGACTAGATTTATATGTTCAAAAAACGTTTATCATCAATCCTCAACTACTCTAGTAACTCAATTTCTTAAGCTTTCACTTATTTGATCATATCATTATCCCACAAATACATTCTCAGTCTAAAGCAACTGGTCCCTTTGATTAATTTAAACAGTGTAATGAGAAGACGAAGATTATCTGAAATGTATAGCGCTAATACATTACATGTTTCAGATAATCTTCGTCTTCTCATTACGTTGTTTAAACATTCTCAGTTAACTCTAAGATCTAATCTTACTTGACTGAATTCTACTCAGCACTCACAACTCACTTATGACATCATTATACAACGTTTTCACTTTAATTCAATTTGGACAGTTTCATTACCTTACTATGTCGTTGTCTCGTTTTGACTGATTTCACTAAAATAAAGTAGGTTAACATATCATTGTAATTTGAGATAACCAATTAGGCTTCACTTTTTTTAATGAAAAAGCCACCTTTCTAGACGGAATACCAAAACTTGATTGGTTGATTTCGCAGTTGTTAGGTTGGCCTTTAAAGTCCCCTATAATTAGTCATTGTAAATATTCCATGTTGTAAACAGCTGATGAGAACGGCCGAAATAATAAAATGAATGCAAAATTTTCTACTTCAATGTTGGTTTTTTGCTCTTTTAAAGTTGATATATTGAAATATTAGTTATCTATATAAGTTACTATTATCCTTAACTGATTATATGTTGCATGAGGATCAGGTTAAGGTTATTTTCCCTGGACTATATCACAGTATATAAGTAACTGTTTCACGTTATAATCACTTCGGATCTTTTCTATTACTATATAGTTTACGCTCAGTCAGCTAGAGAACAGTTTGATCTCTTGAAATTTTATTCAGTTGAAGGTTTTAGGATCTTGGGTATCAAAACCAAAACCCTCAGGTTCGTGTCACAGTAGCCTAAAAGCGACGTACTTGTTACAAAATCTAAAGATCCTGAGTTCAACCACTGGTAAGATTATAGGTGTATACTTCTTAGGTGTCCCATTTTGGGACAAGAAAGCTATCCAATTCTTTTAGACATTCAATGCTTCTTCAGCTGTTATCATTCCGTGATGAATACTCATTGTTTTCAGATATATGATACTGTAAAGATTTTGTACATGAGTTTAGATGTAGTTACTTATGTGTTAGGGTGAATTTGAGACACAGATGTTAGTGTATTTATTTATGACGGATTGGTGAAATCGTTTACGTAACTGGGAAGCTATAAACTCATTATTTACTCTCATACATTTGATATACACTTTGGGTGGATAGATTATGCAGTCAATAGCTGGTGCAAAAATTTATGCCAGCTTTATAATCAGGTATGATATTAACTGAATGGAAATATTCATAGTTTAAATAAAACAAATATAAAGATGGTGAGTTCCATGTACTCCTATGGTATACTCCTTCCCTGTTTGCGCCGACAGTGAAGGATACTTTCGTTAACGTTGAATACATAGACAATTAGACCCGTAGAAGGATGCATAAAAATTACTTCTTCTATTCATAATAGTTTTAAATTGATTAGTTTTCGTTGCTTTTAATAGACTGAAATAGATTAAAATACTTGAAGACAGAGAAGTATCAAAGAGACTATTCTGTAGACTTGATATTCGTAAACGAAGAGAATACTTGTTGTTAGCTTTCGTAACAGAGTGATAACAACTATGACGAAAAATGCTGAATTAATTCCTCGAATTAAAAATACCATTACCAAACTATTATTTGTCCTTTGGGTTCCTAATGGAACATTGAGGTTCGGTAGCACATCTCAAATGCGCTCTGTTCTCTGAAATCTTTTGAACCTGGCTCCATGACAGCCCACAAGCTATCATTTCCTCCTCACATGATCTCCTCCATGTCAACCTCGCCTCGGACGCCCAACTCATCGCTTCCCATCAGGGTTTCACTCAAGTGCCTGGCCTGACGCACGATGTCCCCAGCTGGCCTTCTCAGTGTATGCCCAGTCCAACTCCACTTCCTCCTGCATATTTGTTGAGCGATAGCTTCTTGGTTGGTTCGTTGACAGCCAGCCGGAGTGAGTTCCTTGTTGCTTATTCTTTCTGGCCATCTGATCTTCAGAGACGAGCCAGCGTAGGTGGCAGTTGTTGATGAATGTCTGTAGTTTGTTGGAAATCCCTTTCGTAACGCGCCAAGTCTCTGAACCATACAGGAGCACTGACTTGACATTGGTGTTGAAAATCCGCATCTTGTTCCACATGCTGAGCGGAGTGCAGAAGATCTCCACATTGGTTTCAGGCTAATGAACGCCTGTCTTGCTTTTCCGATCCTGGCTGACTTTGACATCCTCGTCTGTGCCTGTGTCGCCTGTAGTTGAAACAGTGCTGCCTGCCTAGATAGGTGAAGTAGGTTACTTCCTTTAAGTTTCTCCCATTGATGGTGATTTGAGCTTGTTGTTGTTGTTGGTGGTGTTGGTTGGGTATCTTCATCACCCCTGTCTTCTCTATATTGACTTGAAGTCCGTCTTCGATGCTTCTTCTGTCAACTTTCATTATACTGATTATTATTGTGACTCTCTGAGAAAACCATGGTTTGGCAGACGTATTAATATTGAATGATGATTGAAGGTGAAATAAATAATTTGGACCGGGGCTAGATTCAAATCAGCCACCACCGCGTCTCCGGTCCGGTGCTCTTTTAGAAGAAGTAAGAGGTTCGATCACTGACCAGATTTTTATTTCAAATCAATCATCAAGGGTTTTGGCCAACTGCCATGTGAATTCGTGATGCGTTACTATCGCTTGATCGTACTCATACTAGCTGCCTAGTCGAGACTTCTCATCCCAATTCAAATCAAAATGAATAAGATGAGGAGGGGGAGCTTCATACTGAATATCTTTTTGACTATAAATACTAGTCTGTCAAACCACGGTTATCTCAGATGGCCCCTTGGTGATTGAAGTGGAATAAAAGTCTAGTCAGCAGTCGAACCTCATAGATCAGTTGTTAGAGCATCGAGCTAGACACCAGGTGGTGGCTGGTTGGAATCTGGCCACGGTCCAAATATTCATTTCACCTCAAATCATCACCCAGTATAAATACAAGTCTGCCAAATCACGGCTACTATCTCAGATAGTCAAAATGAAAATGTAGTATAATATGAAAATTCATCAATGGCTTATACTTGGTAAGTATTTATTATGTCGGAGGTCTGAATTCACTAAACTTTAAGGAAAAAAGTTAACTCATAATCATATGAGGCCAAAAAGCACCATGAATTGGATTTCAGCCAAGCAGTCTAAAGCTAACTAGTTGACCTACTGTCACCAGATGCGTACATTTAAGTTTCGAGTGTATGTATCTACGATTGTCACTACTGTTAATACGAAATAGAAAAATATTTTACTATAGAACAAAATCTTTCCTTTTCCTTCAGGGAAACTGGTTCCTTCTGAAACAACCATGATATTTGCCTACAGTGCTTAGTATTTCTTAGCTCTAAGAAAAAGATGTAGCTATGAATATGGATGGTAATTGTCTTGGTGTGCTCCAAGCTTTGAGTTTTCCTTTTGGATGTCTGACCAATATGCTAGGAGACTTAATCAGAATTTCCTTTGCATGGAATGAAACATCTTTAAATTGCATGAATGTTTATGAAAGATACTAACCGACCCTAAGAGTTATTGGCTTGTGGTTAGAAAAGGCCTTTTCTTTCTTTTTTGTCAGAGGTTGAACTTTATAACTGTTACTGCTATTTGACTTGTACTATTGGCCTAATGTCTGATTATCGATTCCCTACTGGATAATCAGTTATATGGTAACCCTTAAGGGGATGTGAAAAGGTATTCCTTACCTAAGAACCACTAATATATAATCTAATAATCTAATTAGAGGAAGTGGGTGAGCATTATATTGATTATGATTTTAACTATGTGAGACAGCCAAGGTTTGGCAGACTAGCATTGATAGTACAGTTATGAATTTTTAATTAACCAATTAGTTCAATCACTTCAATGTCAATTCTATGACTACAGTCAATCTCTATCCATACTCAATGATACCACTCATCACAATTGTTTTATTTCATGTCCTCTTCACTAATTCTCTTAGTGGTTTGTGAGATTAAAGGTAGGAAGTGAATGATTGGTTGATTAAATAACAACTATCACTGGTCGATATAATCGACTAATTATTTTCAAGTGAATAATAATGAAGTTATGAAATGTGAGGTGGTATATGGTTGTTAGTACTGGTTTGGTATTGGTATTGGCACATGCATAGTTGATGAAAACAAAGATTAGTGAGTGCATTGTTTTAATTGATTTTCACTCTGAATGGATGATGAAGGAAATTCTTGTGGGTTTTTATGATAGATTAGTGTGTGTGTGTGTGATTGTGAATGGATAAATGAATGTGAATGTCTGAGTGGATAATGGAGGTGTTTAGAGCTGGTTAGTAATTCTTGGATTGAATCTGACAATGACTAACACAAGATGACGTGAATAGATGTTGACATGCACACTCGATTGGATTGAAATGAGACCAAATTTCAATGCTTGATTGGAGTGACGCCAATACAAATGACAACGATATTTATAACTATTTTTTTAATGTACTTGCAGTTCTGCGTTGTTATACTACATCGAATTGTTTGACCTTGGTTGGTATATGGGAACTATGCAGAAGCCTCGATATTGCGGCAATGATTATTAGGATAAGTTACTTGGCTGCAACTAGCTGGGGAGTTCAAGACGTGCATTCCGTCCTATTTGAGACTCGTTAGCTTGAAGTACCTGCAACTCATAGGGTCAGGTTGCTCCCAATGAGTCTAGAAACAATTTCAAACACCACAGCATTATCCACAAGGCTCATTACATGTGATCATTCCAATTTCACAAGAAGTAATACAGTGCGTACCATGCAGAGGAATAGCCTACCTCAAACTAAAACGATGAGAAAAGTTGGATTACCTTCGAAAATAGTTCACATTGGAAAAAAATTAACAAGAAATCAGTCCACAAACTCTCCCACTCTTCCTCTAAACTGTAGGCACACTTCAAGTCTACATAAATAGAGTCCCGGTGATGATACATAGGAATCAGTGGTTGAAGACTCATAGTGAAATCATTGAAAATCGGTCACAATGCCAAAGATGCACCTACTATTGCATGTATTCTGAACTCTCAATGTTTCAACCAACACTAATTTTTAAACTCCCTCTCTCTCTCTCTCTCGCAATACACTTCTGTCTACCTTCATGTCAATCTCTCCTATCCACTTGTTCTTTCCATCCCACTGTGAAGTGTGTTGCCTTCAATTGATGTGCTTGTATGTGAAGCTCAATGTTGCTTATATCCATCTGTCTGTTCATCTGTTTGTCTGTCTATCTATCTGACTCAGTGTCTACAATCCTTTCTCTTTTTCTACCACTTTTCATTACGTTCACTGGTTCATAGGAATAATTTTGCCTCTATGCAGAGTACAATTTCACAAAGTGTAGACTATCCAAGAAACTACAGGGGTAATAATTTGAAGTGATGCACTTGTTTGGAGGGTTCTAAGCTGATTCTGCCTATTTTAATTCAGTACAACTGCATATGTAACGCATAATGTTTAGTCAGATTGATCATATGAAAACTAGAATGTTTAGAGGGCATTACATTATCATAAAGTTAAGTATTATGCTATATAAAGTCTTCAACGCCTTGAATATCAAAATTATCATTCCATACAAATTAATTTTGTCAATAAAGAATAAATGTATATCTTCACATTTCCAAGTTTCAGATAACTTAGTAATCAGTTCCTTGCTTTTCTTTTTCAACGACTAAATAATAGTTCTAATGTTTACTTCTCTCCTAATAATCTTTTGGTATTCTTATTACCTTCAGGTTCTTCAACAGTATAGGTTTGAGCGTTTAACTTTTAACCAACTAACTTGGAGTTAGTATATTGCTCACCCAATGAAGTATAGATAGTCAGATAGTATCATTAGCCGTTGGAAAAACAGGTGTCACTCATTACCTACTGTAAGAAAGTGTATTTAGTTGCTGATTGCATTTTGATTTTCCTACAGTACAGTATGAAACTAGAAGACTTGGATTTCGCCACTGATGACTTGTGCCTGATGTCACATAAACTTGAAGATCTACAGGCAAAAACTAACAAGTTGGCAGAAGAGGCAGGTTAGGGCAGCGAAGACGGGACTTCAAGTCAATATAGAGAAGACAGAGGTGATGAAGATACCCAACCAACACCACCAACAACAACAACAAGCTCCAATCACCATCAGTGGGAGAAACGTAAAGGAAGTAACCTACTTCACCTATCTAGGCAGGCAGCACTGTTTCAACTACAGGCGACACAGGCACAGACGAGGATGTCAAAGTCAGCCAGGATCGGAAAAGCAAGACAGGCGTTCATTAGCCTGAAACCAATGTGGAGATCTTCTGCACTCCGCTCAGCATGTGGAACAAGATGCGGATTTTCAACACCAATGTCAAGTCAGTGCTTCTGTATGGCTGAGAGACTTGACGCGTCACGAAAGGGATTTCCAATAAACTACAGACATTCATCAACAACTGCCACCTACGCTGGCTCGTTACTGAAGATCAGATGGATTGCCAGAAGGAATACGCAACAAGGAGCTCTGGGAACGAACCAACCAAGAAGCTATCGCTCAACAAATATGCAGGAGGAAGTGGAGTTGGACTGGGCATACACTGAGAAGGCCAGCTGGGGACATCGTGCATCAGGCCAGGCACTTGAGTGAAACCCTGATGGGAAGCGACGAGTTGGACGTCTGAGGGTGAGGGTGACATGGAGGAGATCGTGCGAGGACGAAATGAGAGTTTCTGGGATGTCGTGGAACTAGGTCCAAAAGATTTCGGAGAACAGAGTTCACTGGAGACGTGCTACTGAAGCCGTATGTTCCACTAGGGACCCAAGGGACTAATAATATAAATAATAAATAATACAGTACAGTATGATTAGAGAAGTTTCGCATCTTCATCGCCTCTACCGTTTACAAACTAATACATTTCTGACAATCGCGTATACTAACAAGTCATTAGATTTTTGAAGTGAATACACCAACTTGTGTCAACTTTGTAGTGAATCAATCCATAGTAAAATGTTTGTTATAGATGAACAAATTCAAAAATATGTTTAATGGTATAACTTGTTTGAAACGATTGGCTCTAGGTTCAAGTCTTTGAAGAAACAATATCCCTCAGTGGAAAACAGGTATATGTTGCTGATGATTTCCATTAATTGTATCAAGACATAAGAATACTTGAGAAAATACTGCTATAGATTACTGATAAATTGTAAGGTAACTTAAGGTTAGACTAAAAAGTTAACCATTTGTCATGACATATATGAAGATGGACACCAAGTGGATTAGACCGAATTTGCCAACTATCCTTACCAATATTACTGGTCTATATCTAAAGCAAAATATCATATGTTTCATGCTAATGTTCACAATAGCAGGTGTTTTAATTCACTTTCACTGTCATTTATTCTTTATTTCAGTGAATTAGACTCGTGAAAAATAAAAATGGTAGCAAGTATTTCATTTGTGGATACTAATTTGTTAGTCACTGTCTCAAACATGAATAAAACTAATACTGAAATCTACCGATACAACATAGTTCTCATTATTTCAAGTTGTTATTCATCGAAGGCTGACATCAGTTGGAGGAACAAAGGATGGGTGGCGGTTTGGGCTATATCGTGAGCTAACAGAAGTTGGAAATATGGAGCATTGGATTCTGACCCAGTGGCTCAATGGTAACGCGCTGGTCGCGGAACCTGAAGGTCGCGGGTTCGATCCCTGCTGGTGGGGTCGTGGGTGCGCACTGCTGAGGAGTCCCATACTAGGACGAAACAGCTGTCCAGTGCTCCCAGGTTTCCTTTGTTCCTCCAACTGATGTCAGCCTTCGATGAATAACAACTTGAAATATTTCCAAATCTCCACAACCCCCTCAAAATTTAGTTCTCATTAGTTATTTTTTAAAATTAATAACTCAGTGGAACACGGTCAGGTCAGAATTTCACTTGTAACATGAAATGACATATAGTTTCATTTTTAAGATACCCATCAGTTCTTATACTGAAAAGGTCACAAGAATTGAGTTTTGATAAGAAATAACGTAAATAGAAATCAACATTTTAGGTCATTACCTGTTAACGTACAATTTTTATTTGTTAATAAAAACTTTATTGGACAGTTATGTGCTACAGTTGGCCAATTATTATTATTATTATTGTTAGTCCCTTGGGTTCCTAATGGAACATAGGGCTTCAGTAGCACGTCTCCACTCCACTCTGTTCTCCGAAATCTTTTGAACCTGGCTCCATGACAGCCCACAAACTCTCATTTCCTCCTCGCACGACCTCCTCCATGTCACCCTCACCCTCGGACGTCCAACTCGTCGCTTCCCTTGGGGATTCCACTCGAGCAACTGGCCTGACGCGTGATGTCCGCAGTCGGCCTTCTCAGTACATGGCCAATCCATCTCCACTTCCTTCCAGTGCATATTTGTTCAGCGATAGGTTCTTGGTTGGTTCGTTCCCAGAGCTCCTTGTTACTTATTCTTTCCGGCAATCCATCTGATCTTCAGTAGCGAGCCAGCGTAAGCAGTTGTTGATGAATGTCTGTAGTTTGTTGGAAATAACTTTCAGAACGCGCCAAGTCTCTGAACCATACAGCAGCACTGAATTGACACTGGTGTTGAAAATCCGCATCTTGTTCCACATGCTGAGTGCAGTGCAGAAGATCTCCACACTGGTTTCAGACTGATGAACGCCTGTCTTGCTTTTCCGATCCTGGCTGACTTTGACATCCTCGTCTGTGCCTGTGTCGCCTGTAGTTGAAACAGTGCTGCCTGCCTAGATAGGTGAAGTAGGTTACTTCCTTTAAGTTTCTCCCATTGATGGTGATTTGAGTTTGTTGTTGTTGTTGTTGGTGTTGTTGGTTGGGTATTTTCATCACCTCTGTCTTCCCTATATTGACTTGAAGTCCCGTCTTCGCTGCCCTAACCTGCCTCTTCTGCCAACTTGTTAGTTTTTGCCTGTAGATCTTCAAGTTTATGTGACAAGTCATCAGTGGCGAAATCCAAGTCTTCTAGGTTCTTTTCCGCAGTCCAGCCAGCCTATCCCCCTCTTCTCGCTGCCCACTGTTTGCTGCATGATCCAGTCAACTCGACCATAATCAGGAATATCATGGGTGATAGTAGGCAACCTTGTTTCACTCCTGTCCTCACTTCAAAAGCATCACTGAGCTTCCCATTGTGA